CAGATACAAGAGATTCAGAATTTGGTGAAAATCAATTGATTTTTGAGAAGGATGAATTGTTACCGGATTGTTTCTTCTCCTTTGGAGTGCCACTGCGTTGGAGGATTTCGAGTTCGACGATACCGAGAGACATAAGACCTAAAGTGAGACCGGACATGATTCCGGCGAAGAGTACGAGGAAACAAGAGACACCTGCGTAGATACTCCACCATAACGAACCGAACGGAACCATCTCGCTTCCTAATTGGGTCTTTGAGTTTCCGATGACTGACATCAACATTCTGGCCGACGCAACAACATTAATAGGATGCATCTTCGTCGTCGTCGTCTCTCTCTATCTGTTTCAGATATTTTCTCCTCTCTTTTTTTGTTTGTTTTTATCTCATCGTCGACCTAAATCCTACAAGACAATTTTGAATTTCCCAGGACAAAACAGCAAAATTTGTTGTTATTGTTTTTTTATAATCAAATCCACCCTTTAATTATTGTTTATTTTTGAAAAACTTTTCTTAATCTAATTTTTTCAAATACTTATTTTTATTTACTATAATATCTTAAAATTTATTACTAAATAACTTATAATTCCTACTTGGATTTTTAATGAAAAAGAATATTTTTTTCTTTTAATTTTATTTTATATCATGGTAATAATGAGAGCTTTATTTTATACTTTAAAATTATATTCAAAAGTTTATATTTTTTTTAATATTGAGATAATGAGAGGAAAAAGAAGCTGAAGAAATTAAAATTTTTTTTTTTGAGAAATGCCATTTTTGAAATACCACTTTTTAAAAATGTCATTTTTTGAAAATTTTTGTAAAAAATGACATTTTCAGGGTTTAAAATTTTAAGATTTAAGTTTTAAAAATCCATCATTAGTGGCATTTTTGCAAATGGACAATCTATAAAGACATTTTTGAAAATATACACACCAAAAATAATATTTTTGTAATCATCCCAATTAAAAAGGAAAAATGAAGAAAAAAATACATTTTGACCATATTTTTGTCAATCTAAACATTTTCTAACTTTCCTATTTTTGACTGAACTAACCCTAACAAAATCTTTT